TTAGGTGGCATGAGCCCCTTTAACATGTTTCACCTTAAGGTGATAAATTTGTAAAATGCTAGGTCGATACATGCTCATCTCCTACGAGTAGCTTATGTTACTCACCCCTACGATACTGGGGCATATTTCAGGTACGAAGACTTGGTTCGTGAAGCCTAGCATTCTTTGGATGTCGTGTAGCTTTCAAGTTTCCATTTCATGCAAATGTTAGCATGAAATGTCATTTTGTAGACTTATATGTCAAAATATGTATATTTGATTCCATATATGTAATATGTATATAAGTGCACTCCTTTCAATGTATTTGACATGTATGAGATGAGGCCGGAGGCCAATGACATGTGTATTATATTCTATACAACTTTTTAACTTCATGAAATATTATGAAAATCTTGAAAAATCGCAAGTTATTGCTTCACCATGGTTGCATCGGGTGTGGGAATTCCATTTTCATTCTTTTATAGGGTCTTATTAATCTTGTATGAAGTGTGACCAAGGGCCAAATGGTCATTTGACTCCGTTTTACATTTTTGGATTCCATGTTTTCCATTCCAAGTCCATTTTTGCCTTTTTGCCCGTTGGGGAGTCGGATTTTGCATCGGCTATATTTTTAAGCCATGGACCATTGTAGCGCATCTAAATAGGTAAGTTACGTTTACGTGCATAGTCGTTTCCGGGCAAAACCTCATCGTTTGTGTTTTGAGCCTCTTGTGAATTCATTTCGCATTTTTTTGCATATTCTGATCTAGGGACATTATGGACCTCTCACATCAATTTTGTTTTCTTCTTTTGACATGGTTGAATAGAAAACATGATTTTAGGGGGGGGTTTCTTTTTCGTGTTTTTCCAGAAAATGTCGTCTTGGTACCGAAAATCCCTCGTGAAGTTTCAGCTTCCAGTTTTCATTTAGTAGCTTTGTGACCCTCTTGTTCAATTCTGATCTAGGGGCATTTTTGGGATTTCACAGTGAGTTTTTTTCGATTCCGTTCACGCTGTCGGGTAGAAAACTCGATTTTAGGGGGGGTTTCTTCTTCGTATTTTTCCAAAAAAACTCGTCTTGACCTCCGTTTCAAGCCTCAGTTTTGGGTAGATCAAAAAAAATGTAGCAGCAGCCAAAGGCTGCCACCAGCCATGTCTTTGGGCGTCGGCATGCACGCCGGTGGGCTCGCGTATGGGCGCCGTGTGCCCCATGGCCCCTTGTCGGGCCGCCACGATGTCAATTCTTCTTTTGGGCTTTTCTCCTTGGTCCGGACTCCGATTCAAGTGAATTTTTTTTTGAACTTGACTAATTTTTCACTGTCTTTCCAACGGTGTGCTCGGTTGATTCTTCCTGAATAATTACCAGTTTACCCTTTTTGCTTTAAGTGCTCATTTTTCTTCGTCATGCCATTTCTCTTTCGTTCGGACTCCGAATCATGCGATTCTTGAGTCCAACTTGATTAGTTTTTCGTTGTCCTTCTAGCAGTGTGCTCGGTGGAATCTACAGTTTTCAGAAATGACTATTTTGCCCCTGGGGGCTTATTTGTCATATTTTCGATCTTTTGCTTCCGCATCAGTTCTTGTTGAGTTCCACGACCTCATGGAAGGTCACTTTGACTTCTTAGAGTCTTGTTTTCTGTTTTCGCTTCGGATCATCCTTACGGTTCATCACAGGACACACTGGCCTAAAAACCAGGGTCGCCACAGGGGGAAAAAAAGAAATTTTAGAGAGTGGTGGTAATGGAGGTGGGGGGGTTATGGAAGTGAATTTGATTGGCATGGTGTGAATATGGGATAAACAATGACAATTATGCAATTAGGTTTCAATAAGGTTGATTGTGATGAACTGATGGTTATCTACAGATGTCAGAGTGGTGAGTTTTAGTGGAGTTGCTAGCAGACAATTAGAATGGTGGATGGTGGCCATGGTGATGGGGTTTCGACCAGAAATGGAGAAGTGATATTCTGGTGGTGTAGGTAGTTGTCAAAAATATTGTAAGTGATTAGGGAGTGAGTGATGTGCTAATCAGATGTGGCTTTATGCTAAGAAGGTCAACAATGGAAATGGTTTAGCTAGTGGAAAGACTAATAGAAAGCTTTAGCTACAATAAGAAAGATCTTTCTATGATTTTTAAAGATTTCTTGGAAGTCTGTGATAGGGTCTTAAGATATGTAACATGATGTATCTTAGAAAAGGGAAAAAGTAATAAATAGCACATAGTAACATATAAAAGACACATATAATGGAACTGTGCCTATAATGAGAAAATTTGGGGGGGAAACAAGTGACTTTCTAATTACTATAACTTTACATCATGGATCAGCATGGAGACGTTATCTTTTGTCTTAGTTATGTATGAACTAAAAATATACATTAAGCTGAAATTACTTAGTACATACCATGTACTGGTGCTATTATTTTGATTGATGAAACTAATGTAGGGACAGTCTAATTATAGGTATTGAAAGAAATTCTAGAAAATAGAACTAAATATTTGTAATGTAAGTTTACTTAAACTAGGAATACAAATGAAGATAAAGCAAAATTTAAAATTTATTAGATACTAAAATGCGAATAATTTCATTACCTAGGCTTTATTTTTCATATAAAAGGACAAATTGAAGATGACATTCCTTACAAAATTTAAAACAAGATACATTAAATGGGGGAGTGCTTTTTTATGTGCAGTTGACGTATACCTTTAAAACTAAAAAAATTATTATATAAGCCATACATAATTTATAGGATGGAATGAGGGGTGATTAACAAACATGTTCATAGATGGAGTGTGGGGAAATGCAAATATTGAGAAAATGCATGCTAACACAAGAAAGAATAAAATTAGGAATAAATACAATTTTCAGATGGTTTTTCTTTCCTGGCAATGCATTCATGAGAGTTGAGACAGATGAAGTAACACACATTGGGAATAAGATAAAATAAAATAAAAAAATGATTAAGTTGGTTACCAATAACTACATATGCAACTAGGAAAAAAAATAACTACATACGCGACAAAAGTGACATGGTCCACATTGAAGACAATGCAAAGAGAAGGACAAGATAAAACTTAACATGGATTGAGATAGTAACAAAGGAAAGCAAAGTCACAACACATATTCTGCTACAGATATGCATGCTTTAAAGTGTGATGACACTCAGAAAACAAAGAAGACAACAAGAACTAATATTATTTAATATTATTTTTTTCAGTTTTTCACCATGTTAATTCCATTCTATCACTAAGTTGCTTTTAGGAAAATTATAAATAACATAACAAAGGAAAGCAAATGTACCAGCAAGCATGAGTAAAGACTTCTTAAGTGATGAGTCCACGCAGTATGAGTAGTATTCATGATGCAACTAATAAGCTCCATATGATCAAAGTAGTTTCACGGCTTATTTATCATTAAGCAGTAGTTGCCATGGACTGATATAGATATATATTCAAAGCATATAATTTTAAAATTTTAAGCTCATTACATCAGCAAACTATAGAACATTTCATTTTATTTTTGTCCAAATCTGAAAGCAACCTTACAAAGGAACACATAATTTCATAATCACACACATGATCCAAAATCAAAGAGAGATACCATTTTAATGGAAATATCAAAAAATAAGATGTTTGGATACAATTGAAAATCAAAAATTGAAATTGAAATTAGGGCAAATGGATTTGTTAATTAATTAAGGTTTGGAGACATTCGCTCATCTCTACCTACAAATCCTTTCAGAAATTTAACTATGTGCTAACAGCTCTTGATTAACGAACTTGTTTGCTGAGGAAGATTTGTTTTAAAATCGAATTTTCTTGAGGAAACTGACTTTCATCATGGAAATCCTAAAGGATTCATCACTCCGACTATACCATAGGTGAAGAGAAGAGGGGAATTCACTGGAAAGAAACATAAATCATAACGAAATCACAGAAATAGGCGATTATAACAAGGTACCTTCGTCCTTGCTCACTCGCTGGTAGAACTGAACAAGTCACTGGTCGTTGGCGGTCGTCGTTCCCCTCTGATCGCCGGTTGCTGATTGCTACTCGCTGTTCATCATCTTCTTCGTTGCATGAAAGTCGTCATATGGTTAGGGCACTTTTTTACAGAGAAGAGGAGAGAGAGAGGGCTGCACTGAACGAATGGTTATGAAAGAGCATTCTAGGCAACACAGAAATTAGGGCTTGCAATTAGGTCTCGGAAAGGGCAATTCAGGCAACACAGAAAAAAGGGGAAGGGCATTTTAGGCACCATAATTTTTAAATAGTAAAAATCCATGTGCCACCTTAGCTTTTTGGTCAAACACATTTTAGGGAAACTATGGGACTTTGACTTAACCTCTGAGTAAATATGGGGCCCTAAGCCCATTTATATGTAATAATCCCTAAACACAACATATAAAAGATCTAGAGAGAGAAAATTGTCTATATATATACATATTATATATATTTATATATTATTCGCTATATGTATGAAGAGAAAGAGATCTAGGTTAGCACTAAAAAAAGAGGGAAAGAGAGAATGTACTATCACAAAGAGAGATCGGAGGTGTCGTAGATAGAGAGCAACCTTGTTGGTAGATTTGTCTGAAACAGGAATCTAGAAGGATTTTTGGTATCGCAGAGAGAGAGAGACCTTGGTGGTAGATCTGCTTGAAACGAAGCAAAAGGTATTTTTCGTATATGATTTTTTTTTATATTTTATTATTAGTGGGAATAAATGGGAATGGAATTGTCATTTCACTTCTTAAGAAGATGAATGAGCATTCCTTGGGAATACCTTGGAATGGCCATTCCACTTTTAATGTGACACACCAAATAAGAGAATAAAAACAAAAGCATTCCATTCCAATTTCATCTGATTCTATTCACTCACACCAAACATGGCCTAAGGGTAAATGAATTACTGTTTCTCCAAGTGTAAATAAATTACTATATATACAGTAAAAAGAAACAGAACTGTACAGACCCACTTTGGTGGGAATATTAGGCCCAATGAACAAAACATATATAACCATTTCGTTGCTAGCCCAACAAAGTAAAGTCCTCAATAAATTGTTAGTCAGGTGGACGCGGCGGTGGTCGGAGCACAACCACAGCAAAAGAGTTCTTTCCGTTACATAAAACCCCCCACACACTCTCTCTAGACTCCTCTCTCTCTCTCTAAACCCACACGCAAACACGTCTATTTTTTTGTAGTGAAGCCATGAGTTATGATGGTAGAGTGGAAGTGGAGAGAGCGTTTATAGGAGCAGGATGCAACAGAGTCGTCAACAACGTTTCATGGGGGGCCTGTGATCTGGTCGCCTTCGGTGCCCAAAACGCAGTTGCCATTTTCTGCCCTAAGGTTCAACACTTCTACTTCTTTTTCTATTAACAAATCGCTTAAATTGATTGTCTTTTATAAGAAATGCATATTATGTGTTTGCTTATTTGTTTGTTTGACAGACTGCTCAAATATTGACTACACTTCCGGGTCACAAGGCTTCTGTGAATTGCACTCAGTGGCTTCCAAATAGCAAGTTCGCATTCAAAGGTACCTTCTTGTGGTAATTAGCTTCAAAGTAAAGCTTGGATTTTTGTTAATGTCAAACTTGGGAACACGTAAGGATGTTGTTATTTTATACATTTTTATGCCAACTAAAGCAGTTATTTGTTTATTTTGGATAAGTCCAACTCAAGCATTAAAATTTGGAACACTTGCTCAGCCTGTGAATAATTAAAAAAAAAAAAAATAGTACCAAAGACTGTAGCCTAGCGGTACCTCCTCACTTCCAAAGTAGAACGTCAAGGGTTCAAGACGATGCGTAAGTTTCTTGTCATGGTAGGAAAATAGAATAATAAAAAATAAGTGAATTTTTTTTTTTCTCTCTATACCAGTCTCAAAATCTTCACTCTTGACAATCTGACGTCAGATAGTCTTGAACTGGTGTTGTGTGTGCAAAAAGACGGAGGAATCAGTGAACCACCTTCTCCTTCATTGTCCAGTGGCAGGGATGTGTGGTCTTTGTTCTTGGTTGCTTTTGGCATGGCTTAGGTGTTTCCTGAGTCCACGGTTGATATGTTAGAGGTTTGGACAGGTTGTATATTGGAGAGCCGAGCCAGGGATGTGAGGAGAGACACTCTATTTTCAGGGTTAATGGGGCAAATTATAAATCTTTGGATCATCTTTTGGACTTTGTGGATAGCTTGAAATTATAGTGCCATTTTAGGCTTCTTTGTATTCATTTGGGAGCGCTCCCCTTTTGAGTGCCTTTAATAAAATCTTACTTATCAAAAAAGAAAAAAAAGAAAAAAAATAACCTTCACCTGTGGCTTGGAAGTTAAGACCCAAAGCCACAAAGACAGAGGTAGACCAATTAATTCATGAATTTTTATGATAGTTTGTTTGCGCAAAGCCGCAAAAATTAGTGCCGCATAAATTACTTTTTTAAGATATAAACATGAAACATAGACTGGTGACTTTAAGTTTCTGGCTGAAAATATTTTCTTATGCTCGCAGCTCAACAGTTGGAGCAGCATTTGTTACTGTCTGGAGATGCTGATGGTGTCATTATTTTGTGGGAATTATCTCTTGCAGACAAAAAGGTACTTATAGTTAGTTTTTAACTTTTTTTTATCGAAAGTGAATATTTATATATGGTTGCACATCACTTTAAAGCGGGCCAATACACTTTTTCATTTTCTGCAAATTATAAGACTATAGCTATTGACATAATAGAGAACCAAATGTCCTTCTTGCGCACCATGTTTAATCTTATTATAGGCTTCTTAAATGATCATAGGCTGTCAATAAAATAGATAAGCATCATCTCCATAGTTCGATGCAGGGATGACATGTAATTAGCAATAACATTTGTTTTCAATGATTTATCCGTAGGAGGCTAAATTGACATCTATTAGACATGCTTATGTAAATGAAAATGTGAATTCTTGTTCCAAATCATGGCATGGTTAAACAATTTGGTGTTATTATACTGATTTTCTTTATTGGGTTTGTAAAAGTTGTATAACTTGTCAAAGCTAGGTGTTGCATATGTACAGTGCATTGTCATGCCTCGAACCCCGAGATACTGAACCCTGAGCATTTGGAGTGTGATATAAAAAGAATAACCAATCACAAAACTATTCTCCAAGTGAAATTTGTTTGTTACAGTTGAATAAATCACTTAACAGCATTTACGAAGATACCAACTTCCAAAATTTCGCAACAAATATCCAGTACATCTCAATATCCATTATTCCTCCTGTAACACTTCAGACAAAATTACACATTTCACCAAAATTAAACTTAAGGCAACGCTATTGCAAACCTATTATAAAACCCTCTACAATAAGTTTTTATCACCTAGAAGTTCATAGCTCTTCATGGCGAATGTGTCTTTGCCCAAGCTTTCTTACAATCATGACCTGTTATGGTAGTTGAGCTAGACTGCCCTGTAGGAAAGTAGCTATCTTCTCTGTACAAGATATATCAGACATGCAACAAAATAAAATCATGGAAACAAAGTTTTAAACTTGAGCATGAAATGAAAGAAACAATTAGCTGAATAGGTCAAAAGTCATTGTAACTTTAATGCCAAGTTTATTAAGATGCCAAACATCAAGAGATATAATTTTTCATATGGATATATAGCCATAATTCACTATCCACAGATAAAACCAACAATCAAGAACAAAGTGATCATGTATTGCAAGATTGGGCACACATTTCGGGTGGTTCAACCCTAGGATCAATGGAATCTTACACGCCTCACAAGGATGCTACACTGCCCCGTCTAGAGGTGGTGGACATTCCACCCACTTGACTTTCCATCACACTTGAGATGGGCTACGTGAATCTTATTTTTTCACACCTTTCTATGTAAGGCTATAGTCTCAATTGAACCGCGTATTATCATACCTTTCCTTATTAACTCTACTCATATTAATTCTGGGTTTCCCCTTCCCCTAGCATTACCCTTAGTGTGGGTACTGTCACTTGACTCACTCTTCTTAACCGGTGCACTCGGTGCTTCTACAATATTATCCTCTAATTGCTCAAATTGTTTGATTTTTTATTCTTTATATATATGAGCTTCTTTTACAAGACACTTTGAATTAAGTTTTGCCTCTAAATTTGATTTACTGGAGAGTTGTGGATGAGTAATTTCATGTGACAACTATTTTAAGTCTTCCTCTCATTTGCTCGCAGTGGAGATATGTGTTACAAGTACCACAACCACACGAGAAAGGCGTTACATGCATTAATGGAATTATGGTTTCCCAGACTGATGCAATTTTTGCATCTACATCATCTGATGGTACAGTTTGTTTATGGGAAGTGGTCTTTCCTTCTATTTCTGGAGGTGAGTTGTTCGAATTTTGGGTTTGTTTTGCGGTCATGCTAGCCATGGTTTCACTTTTGGTTAAATAGTTATTTTATTTACGCATGTAATTTCTCATAGAATTTGATTATTGGTTTTATTACTGGGATTTGAGTTCTTATCAATATTGCAGTTCACTTGTTCTCTTCATGGGTTTCTAGAGAATAACATACTAATTGGATACATTGTTCTCTTCATGGGTTTCTTGAAAATAACATATTAATTGGGTACAGATGAGATATAGTTAGGGCCTGTTTAGTAATAGGAATTAATTCCTGATTTCTACCGTCAATTCCTAAAATAGGAATCAAAAGTTAAAATCATGTTTAATAAAGTAATTCTACTTTTCAACAGTAAGAAAATACTTTCTCTATTTGTGAAGAAAAAAAAAGGTGCCAATTTGATACTTTCTCCAATTTCTATACTGTAGACAGAAATTGCTTTCTATACTGTAGCTACTTATCCCACCAAAGCCCTCTTTCTTCCTCTACTTATCCCATCAGAAGACCGACGCCGCGCCACTGCAATTTTGGGTTCGGGTGATCAGTGACCAGCGATCAGCAACGGAGGGGATCCGTCAACCCTAGAAAATTCTCTGCAAAGCCGGCCACACACACGATGAGAGACAACGAAGCGCATGATGATCGAAAAAATCCACCGATGAAGTAGCTTCCGATTCAATTCCCTCTGATTCTCCATCTCAGAAGCGTCTTCTCATCGATCCAAACCCTAACCATTGTTCAACCGCATTGTCAGCGTCGATCTTGTCCTCCGATTTGATTTTTTTTTATCTCTCATCGGCATCGCCGGCGACCACCATATCGGCGATGAGACTTAGGTAAGTTATCTTTTCCACAGATTTTTTTTTTTATCTCTCTCATCCTCAGGACAAAATCCCCTCTTCCTCCCTGTTTTCTTACCCTAAATCCTTATCACAAAATCACAACAACGAATACAACCTTCAGGACATGGCAGGTTCATCCTTGTGCTTTTTGGATGGGTACCCAATTCGAAAAGCACAAGATCATGTTTTTTGGTACTTTTTGGACATTAATGGGACACCAGACCAGGTCGGATCAGGGAATCGTGAAGGGAGAAGATGAAAATGGTTTCATCTATGCTGGTTCACGTGAAGGGAGAAGATGAAGTGGTTTCATCTCTGCTGGTTCAATTGGAACTGTAACAGAATTTTTTTTTTATTTTTTATTTTTTATTGTGTTGATCGAAATAGGTTTGTGGTGAGATCGTTGATGTTTGAAACCTGTGATGGGAGGTGGTGGTGGATGCGAACATATGAACTAGGGATGGTGGGATTGGATAGATGATAGAACTGGGCATGGGTATGCAGGTGATGATTAAAAACAAAAGCAAAATAATAATTATTAAACTTTATTTTGTTATTTTACTTTCAAAATTTTAATAAATTTGAGATATTACTAAACATTATTTCACTTTCTATTTCACTTCAAGAAATCAAAAGTATGATTTTACTTTTGAAGAAAGCAAAAATTAGAAAGTGAAAGCATTAGTAAACGGGCCCTTATGTGTCTGACGGGTACTTCACTACTTTTGAAGAGTCCATGTAACATAGCTAATGAAGCCTTGTGGTGGCTATAAGGTTTTCTAGAAAAATATGATTTCAATTTCTACACTTCTCTAGAGAGGATCCTTGTGAAGTGGCTCATTTTCAGCCTCCCAAGAGGGGTCCATTTCTAAAGGTTATTGAGGGTTATCCTTGAGCATCATGAGTAATTTTTATCACTTGCATTTATCTTGGTCAAATAGTAATGTTATCTCATCCATTTGAATGCCCCTGCCTGTGAGAAGAAATAAAACCTTCAATAGTTGATTCGGGCCAATTTGGTAATGATTACATTTTTAAAATTTTTTTTTATAAATGAGGGAGTATGATCCTTGAGTTCTCTAAGTTGACTGACACTGAAATTGCTATTAAGGCTGGAATTCTAGCTTTTTTTTTGGAAGGTCTTATGGTAGCTTTGGATAAAGTGTTGCGTTGTTTTTGATAAAAGGAAGATTTTGGTCACTTGTTAGATGGGTGCGAGTACAGTCCATGAGCCTATTAACTACAATCTTCTCCAAAAGCTTAAGATGTTAGAGAGGGTGTAACTTTAATACTTGAATCCTTCAAAACACCCCCTCACGCGTGGCCTTATTTTGGTCCTACCCGTGCTTTTCAATTTTAATTTTCAGGGTGACGGTGAGGTTTGAACTCAAGACCTTTGACTCTGATACCATGTTAATTACCATCTTCTCCTAAAGCTTAAGCTGTTAGAGAGGGTGTAACTTCAATACTTAAGTATTACCACATCATAAGAGAGATTGCTGTTAGTTTCAGAGCTTTCACAGGTCTTCTCCCCCCCAAACAAACGCCGATCTATTAGTTTTTAGAAATTTTTGTTTCTTATTTTTTCTCAATACATGAGTATATAATTAATGCTTCTTATGAAGATTGGATGTTTTAATCATCTTGGGTTAGATGCCACGTGTTTTCTCTGGGCAAATTGTATCTGCTAATACAAAGTTGGATAATTAGTTTATTGACAAATAATTGCTTCATAATTGGCCATGCCAAAATCAGCCAGCTAATCTTTCTTCTATCTGCAACACAATACATAAGCTATTTACATCGAAACTTTTTCTTTGTGCGCTTGTGATGGTGAGTATTCAGGAAATGAGGTAGCTCATTAACCAGGATTTCTCTACTCAGTCCACTTCTACTCTGGACAATTGGTGTACCATTTATTTCATTGTGTTAAAAACCTTGTGAAGGCTAAAGTTGTAAAATTAATAGTTGCAAGGAATCTGCAGAGTTAACTTTGTACAAGTTTTGGAGGTGTAAAGAGTGCAAAAGAGAAATTATGTGTGTTTGAGAGAGATCCTGGCCACACAAACTGCAGTTGACCTCCTTGGTCCTCCAGACTTTGTTAATGTGAACAAAACTTTATCAATAACTGGTGTGAAACGTTGTCAGTGCTGCCATGACTACTAATGACTTTTATCTCCATTCTCTTGGTCAAAACTCTGAATGTTTTTGTCATCCTGGTTCTTCTTAGGAAAAAAATAACGAGTGAATTTTAGTTTCATTCTTTGCCTATTCCTATGAGGCTGTGAAAGAAAGGGAAGAAGGCTTTACTGAGAAGGGTTGAGTAAGGGTGGTAGTGAACAATGAGGGTGGCAATTCAGATGGTAGGGGAGAGGAAACAGGATATGGAAGTATGATTTGCATGATAATCAGAGAGCCAGCAAGGGGTGGATTTGGTCAGCGAAGTGAGATTTAATATCTGAGGAAATTTCTCTGGTTTGGGAAAAAGAAGAGATGCATTCCTGTCCAATATGGGTGAGGGTCCTTTTCTGACACTTAGCTGTCACGAAGGTTGGAGGAGAAAGAATTTTAACATTGTTTGGTTTGTGGGGAAGGGAATTCCTTTCAGAAAAGTGGGAGATAATTTAGAAGATGAGCTATCGGAATTGGTGCCATTGGACTCTATGGCAATACTAGGATGTTCCAAAGAGGATTATTTGGAGCTGGATGCGTTGTATGTATGTAACAAACTAAGCCCCTACCCCTGGTATCTTTAGTGCTTCAAAGTATCCAAATTTGTTTTCCGCTGGGGGCTGCATTAGCCTAAAAACTCATGGTTATACTGCAGAATGCCAATCAAGTGAGCTACAAATTCTTTTGTAAGCCAATGACATATTAGTAGTTGCTGGGTTTTACCATTTCTCCAAATATCTATTCTAGCATACTTATCTACATCTATATTCTTCCTTGGGTTCATGCTACGTATGCCTTTCATCGTCATCATCATTATCCTTGCTTTTCAGCTTAATCCAAATAACTAAATTGCATGTGATTTATTATATTGACAATTACTAAGTGTGGTAATTTTAGGTGACTGTAAATTGTCTTGTTTGGAATCTCTCTATGTTGGTTCAAAACCTATGGTGGCACTTTCACTAGCAGAGTTGCCTGGAAATACGGGTTACCTAGTCCTTGCAATGGGGGGATTGGATAACAAAATTCATCTTTACTGTGGTGAGAGGACGGGAAAGGTATGTAATCTCAGTAGTTTTATTGTTTTATGTTTCTTGTGTATAAGATTTGCCTCTGTTTAAATTTTGTTGTCTTTTCTTGCACACAGTTTGTTCGTGCTTGTGAGTTAAAAGGGCATACTGATTGGCTTCGAAGTTTGGACCTATCATTACCTATATGGACAAATGGTGAAGCAAATAGTCTTCTTCTAGTAAGTTCATCTCAAGACAGAAGTATACGCATTTGGAAGATGGCTTTACGTAATTCTCCAGCTAATTCTATAAGGAAGGAAAAAATAAGCTTGGCTTCTTATATTGATGGTCCTGTTCTTGTAGCTGGCTCATCCTCCTATCAGATATCTTTGGAATCTCTCCTCATTGGACACGATGATTGGGTGTATTCGGTGGAGTGGCAACCCCCTACAAACTCATCTATAGAGGGTATTGCATGCTATCAACCTCAAAGCATTTTATCTGCGTCCATGGACAAGACAATGATGATCTGGCAACCTGAAAAGAACACTGGCATCTGGGTGAATGTGGTTACTGTGGGGGAGTTAAGTCACTGTGCTTTAGGGTTTTATGGTGGGCATTGGAGCCCAAATGGTGATTCAATTTTGGCTCATGGATATGGTGGATCTTTTCATCTCTGGAGAAATGTCGGTGTTGACTTTGATCATTGGAAACCCCAGAAAGTTCCCTCTGGGCACTTTGCAGTGGTAACAGATATCGTGTGGGCTAAGTCTGGTGAATATGTGCTGTCAGTCAGTCATGACCAGGTAATAAATTTCTTGATCTGTAGAAGAAGTTTAATAACATTGTCTTTTCTGCCTCTGAAATGTTCCGGCTGCATGCTCTGGGTTGGTTACAGTATAATCTGTTTCCTTTCACAGAGACTTTGTATGCAAACAGATGTGTAAGTTTTCCAGGTTGGCTGCCTGGGAACAGCTTTTATGTTTGCTTTGAATATGCTGGAACTGCTGAGAAAATCTCAAGTTAGATAGATTTATTTTAAATTCTCTCTTACAGTTCAGATATCCTTTATGCCACATGCATCCTTTTTATCAAAGCCACCTTTGGTTAAATTTTACTTGAACTCGGGCAGGTACTATTATTTTCCCATTAAGTTGTTCTGTGTGATCTATGATTGGAACTTTTATAAAGTAGATTTTCTCTTAACCGGAAGTCTGGAAGTCTATGCAGGAAAAAGATTAAATGTTGGTTAAAAAGTGAAACTAATTAAAATTTTAAACAGAATTTTGCATAAAAATGAAGAGTTGTTTATGGGTAAGGTTGTATTTCCAATTATTTCAAGAATAAGATTTTTCAACAACGGTACTATCTGAACCAGTAGTTCTACACAGCATGTATATCTGGTTATCAGTGGTGCTATTAATTTTGAAATAAATCATTTAACTTAAAGAGTTTCAAATCATGCTTGGATTGATGTGGTATGTGAGTTGCATATATGTTTTCATTATTTAAGGGCTTCTGCCCCAATTGACCCATCTCCCCGGACGCTTTTCAAACTCCTAGCATCGATGATCTCTCTGCACTGGCCAATTCCGGCATATATTCAGAATAGAGCCTTCCGTCGTTTCCTTCTCCTTTGTGATAATGTTGGCTGAGAACTATCTTCTCTCTTAAGCCTTAGAACCCCTATATGTTCTGACTTGAACTTACCTTTAGAGCTTCCGGGGCTCTAGGTCCCACAACATTCACTCTTCCATCTTCAGCTGGTCTATTCTGCGCTCGCCCTTAGCATTCGCCCATCTTAACATCGGGACAGTAACGAGCAAAATGCCCCCCTCCATATTCATACAGTAAGCCGATAGGACTTGTGCTGAATAACCTAATTTTTACCAGTGTAGGCTGCTTATGTGGTGCTGGCGGGATGGATTGGAAACTGACGGCAATATTTTGTGCAAAGTGGTTGCTCTGAGACTCTAATATTATTTTCACTCTTGGCAATCCAAATATTTTATTATTGCACAAAGCATTGGCCCCTAGATCAAAATAGCCATACAATATACATTAAGAGAATTAAGCAGGCCTTAATGAAGGAATTAAGAGGTTCATTGCATAGTTGCTATGTTTCGTACTGTGGCAGTAAACGTAAACAGAATGTTACATTTATTGGGTTGATGTTTTCAGTAAAAAAAATCCTCAATTTCACGATCTTCTGAAATTTTCAGACAACTAGAATTTCTGCTCCATGGGTTAAAGAACCTGGTCTGGAAAATGCGGACTCTTGGTGTGAAATTGCTCGCCCTCAAGTTCATGGTCATGATATTAACTGTGTGACAATCATCAAAGGAAAGGGGAACGATCGTTTTGTGAGTGGGGCTGAGGAGAAAGTTGCCAGAGTATTTGAAGCTCCTCTATCTTTTCTGAAGACATTAAATCATGCTTCCTCACAGATGTCTAGCTTCACTGAAGACATGCAAGTTGATGTTCAGATTCTGGGTGCAAATATGTCTGCTCTTGGGCTATCACAGAAACCGATTTATCTTCAGGGTGAGCTTGATTGTATCTGTCTATCTTTATCTCAAGTGTGTGACATTGTTATATAGTCTTGCTATACTTATTATATTTTATGTATCCAAATGCAAATACTGTGTCTGGACGGGTAAAAATACTAATGTTCTTTCTTCATTAGTACCTTGCATGAAGTTGTCATTTTTTACCCTATTTGATGGATTTAAAAAGAAAAAAAAAAAACACTTATTCATAAAATTCTTTGTTTTTGATGGAATGGGAGGTGATGTTGAGTTCAGGGATCTACCTAGTTGGTCCTATTACAGACCTTACCTTTGGCATTATTTATACAAAGTTGTTGCTCTTAGGACAAAAAAGCCATGTTTTCACACTTGATAGCGCGAGCACTTTTACCATTTTTACCAATGCACCAAGCAATGATTCTTATAGGGGGCTCACCTTATTAAGTTAGGGAGAAGAGGGAGATTTATAATATGCCGAACTTATGTTTGTACATCCACCAGAGTATCTATCAACTCTTGTGAAGCATTTGTTCCATTATATCTTTAGCCAAGTTGATCCGTATGTTACATCGGCATGTTGGCTTCGATACATTCAACTTGCTTTCTATATTATCTCTTTAGAAGAAGGAGATTATAAAAATCTTTCTACTTCGTTCTCTATTCTATTAGAAATAAAATGAGGAGGAAAAGCATCTTGAGTTTTTTCCTCGAGAAAGCATTCATCCTTTCGTTTTCATTTAATTTCATTTCTCAAAATACTTCATTTGGTACATGCAAGAAATAGGCAAATTCAGCAACTTTTTGTTCAATTTCTTTTGGAGTCTAATTCTTTACATAAACTTCATAAAGGCCATCGTATCCAACTTTCATGTATTAAGATACGTTTCAAGGGTGGATGATTATCATAAGAGATTCCCAACATATCATAAGATTCCCATTCTTGAAATAACGCATTTTTAAACCCATAAAACAGATAGAATCTAGGATTCCTCGGGAGAAATATTTTTATTCATACTCTTCTGGTTGATCCATACCAGAGTAGCTGCTACACATAGTAGAACATAGTTATTCCTTTAAATTTGTAAGTTCTGCATATGTTATGTGAACCTTCCTCTGTTGCCTTTGAAGTTGCACCTGAATTATACCTTAAAATGGGTAAACATTTCAATTGTGGATAACAGTGTCAGTTTGAGGATAATGCTGATAATTCCAGTTTTTTGGCCACCGGCCAACTTTAAGATGTGTAGCTTGATCTTTTGGGGGTATCTTTCATGCAAATAGTATCATGTTTGTTGTTTTCTTTTCTTCCTGTGCTTTTTGGGTTCTTTTTGTAGTATTTAATTTTCTTGTTTTCAAGTTGCCATTGTCAGTGCTGTTGATTTCGTTTCTGTATGACCAAGATATGCTTCCTGTTTATATGTGTAGGTTTAAATTGAAATTAACTGTTGTGATTGGGTTTATAAAGAGTAACAATTTTAACAGGTCATTTTCTTGTGCAGCTGTGCATGAAACCCCAGGCAGTAATGGTAATGAAGGTCTGGATACCCTCGAAACTATTCCAGATGCAGTTCCTGTTGAATTAACTGAACCCCCCATTGAGGAACAACTAGCATGGCATACACTATGGCCGGAATCACACAAACTTTACGGTCATGGAAATGAGCTGTTCTCTTTATGTTGCAACCATGAGGGAAAGCTTGTTGCTTCATCCTGTAAGGTAATCGACTTCATTCTTATTGCTGTTATAATACATGAAATTGTAGATAGCCTAGCATTCCCATGTTTGGAAATATTCACTGCTGCTGATTAAAGAATGTTCAGGTTTTTGTTATACATGATTAATCTGGATTGACGTTAACATAATGCCTTTAAGCAATGTGAACAATATATTTGCAGCTTGCCATCCCCCAAATAACTCCCATTACAATTAGAGTCATGACTTTTGACTAGTCTTTGGTCTCAAAAAAGTGAGGGGAAAATTGGTTCATCCAAAATGGAGCCATTACAGTAAATAGTTCAGAGATTAATATAGGAGTGAAGGAAAACTTCTATTATTATATGAAATCTTAACATACCCATATTTTGAGAAAGTGTCAACAAGAACACTTGAGATGCTTAAGGGCTACCAAAGGTAAAACAAAATGATTCTTTGGGGTTATGTGAAGCATAATGGAGTGATTTAGTTTCTGTGATATGACAAGGCACTCAATATTGGAATTAGTGCACTTCGAAAAAAAATGATCTTTCTAGTGAGTAAATAATGTGTGTGTATATATGTACACACACACACACATGTATGTATATTCTATTGGATACAATGATGGGGCTTGAACTCTGTCATCTGACTTATAGTAATCCCAATTTTATCATTCGGCCAACAAACTTAACCTTTGAACAACATTGATTCTATTTGCCAAATTAAACAGTGTCATTGAACAACTGAAATATCAGAAATTACAAGGTTTGTTAGCCATTGAGGCCAAATGTTCCACTCTGTATCACCTTGCCTACAGTTTAAAGCCCAGCTTCCCATAGCATGAGCTGCTGTATTGCATTTTCGAGGAATCCATCTAAGGAGGAAATTCTCATTTTGCTCCAGAAAGAGCTGAACATCAGCTAGAATAGTAGCTGTTAAATCATCTGTTGGGATCAGATTCATCACATTCTTACAGTCCCCTTCTATGATGATATTTTCATAACCCCCTTGACAAAGAATTTTTAGGCTTTCTTGCAATGTTAGAGCTTCTGCTACACTGGGATCATATGGATGGGGAAAGAAGAAAGATCCTGCTCAGACTGGATAACCTTTGTTGTCCCTGAGCACTATGTCTCCTCCACCTTCCTTCACATGATTTTCAAAAGCAGCATTTATTTTTAACTTGAAAGAATTGATTGGAGGGGCTTCTCACCGAGAAGATCTTCTAGAGTACCTGATGTTAGAATTCAGAGTGTGCTCTTCCTTCTGGATTGCTAAAAATTTTGAATAGCTCGCCAAGGCTTGAGCCAGGATAGCAGGGGTCAATTCTGCAACTTTGGAAGATCCTTTCATTATGATTTTTCCGTAAGTGCCAACATAGATGCTCATAGACTGAAATATTCCTCCTTTCTGTCTTCATTCTTCCACATATCAATAAATTGCATCCATCTTTGTTTCCATGACAGCTGCTGGTTTGAATCAAAAGATAAACGTAGTGGAGATGCCTCCCACCCCATCCTAGCCGAACATGATCTATAGTTCCCTCTCCCCACATAAGAAACACATGCATTTTGAACTATACCTCTTCATTTCAGATTGGACTGAACTGGTAATCTCTCATGACAACATTGCCATATAAAGAATTGGATATTTTGATGGGTATTAAGCTGCCAAATGGATTTCCACTGGCTTTCAAACTCTTGTGTGTAGCTGCGGCCCACCATGCCAGTTGGATTTGTATTAGATATCAGTCCTAATTTACTTATCAAATAAAGTATTAGGAGAGAGCATCTTGGTAGCCAATGAATAGGCACTCTTCACTGTAAACTTCCCATTCAGAGTTAATCCCCAAACGTTGGAGTCCTCACCTTTGGATCTCTAAGGGGAATCTGTAAGATAAGAGCAGCATTTCTATGATTAAAAGTTTGCCTTATCAAATCCTCCTTCCATGTTGGAGAATGAGAGTGGATAAGATCCGAAACTTTAGATATCTCATTACCCAACTACTGGGTTGTAACTAAGAAGTTAATGAGCTGCTGTCCAGTGGATTTATTCATGAATGTTGTCCTTGTGCTGTCCCGGCTTTGGTCACACCAAAGAAGAATGTTAGTTGGCTCGTGTGTGTTGACAGTCGCGCCATTACTAGATTACAATCAAATATCGGTTTCCTATTCCTCGAATCGATGATTTTCTGTACATGGTGGCTGGCTCTTGTATATTTCCAAAGAAATATCTGAAAATTGGCTACCATCAAATTCGAACAAGGCCCGGGAATGAATGGAAGGCGGCCTTCAAGACAAAAAGTGGTCTCTACAAGTGGCTTGTTATGCCATTTGGTCTTTCTCCCTAGCACATTCATGTGCTTCATGACTCAGGTATTGCAGCCCTTTGTTGATCGATTTTTGGTTGTTTACTTAGACGATATTCTTATCTACAGCAGAACAAGTGAGGAGTATATTTCCCATCTTCAACAAGTTTTGAGAGTTCTCCGCCAAGAGAAGCTTTACATGAACTTGAAGAAGTGTTCTTTCATGATGCCAAGTGTTGTGTTTTTGGGCTTTGTTATTTCTTCCAAAGGGGTAGAAGCTGATTTTGATAAAGTGAAAGCGACTCTAGATTGACAATTCCTATCGCATTATAGGAAGCATGGAATTTTCATGGGCTAGCTTCATTTTATCGGCGTTTTTTAGAAATATCAGCTTATCAAATATATATATATATATATATATATATATATATATATATATATATATATATATAAAATTCAGCACAATAATGGCCCTATCAGCAATTGTATGGGGAACGGACAGTTTGTGTGGACCAAGGCAGCAGCACAGACTTTTGAAGCAGTGAAGAAAAGAATGACCAGCTCCTATTTTACATTTTCCAGACTTCTCAAAAGTGTTTGGAGTAGCATGTGATACTTCAAAGGTTGGATTTGGAGGCGTGCTTAATTAAGGAGGACATCCAGTTGCATATTTTAGTGAGAAACTTAATGAAGCAAAGTAAAGGTATTCCACTTATGGCTGAGAATTTTATGCTGCGATTCAAGCACTTTGCTACTGGTGTCATTACCTTCTTTTCAAGGAGTTTGTGCTGTGTTCTGACCAGGAGGCCCTCAAATATATTAACTCCGAAAAGAAGTTAAGGCACTGACATGGGAAGTAGGTTTTGTTCTTGCAAGTTATGATGTCATAGTTGTGGTACAAATAAGACCTGAACACAATCCTAAAGGTGCTTACAAGAAACTTCATGCAAAGAGCGCTGGCCCATACAAATTTCTTAAGAAAATTAGCTCCAATGCTTATGTACTTGACCTACCAGAAGACATGGGTATCATTAAAATCTTCAATAACAAAGATCTCACCTTGCACTCAGGCCTTGATCCATTTCTTGATGATCCTGTTACTGCCTTCCCCCCGCTCCACATTTAAAGGAGGAAATAGAAGATATTGTTGATCACCAACTTGTTTCAACAAGAGAAGGTGGTTTTAAAAAAAATCTTTGTTAAATGGAAAGGACAGCCACTATAATTGTATGTGGATCACTGAGTTCTAACACCTAGCTCCTGACCTCTATGAGCAATTTCACGCCTTTTACTTGCCACGGCGAGTTTTTCCAAGCCGGGAAGAGTTGATAGAGATCTGGCAGCTGCCTTTAAAAGTGTATAAAAGGCGTGGGAAGGAGGGTTCTAATGCTCAAGCCTTAATTTGGCATATGCTAGATGATGTGGGGTCCACTTGGAGTCTTGAATAATTGGGAGTTTTGGTCATAGTTATGGTAAATTGCATCAGTTATGGTCAAATCGCATTAATCAGTATTGATTACTATTATTATGCTAAAGTCAGTATTGATTACCTCAATTATAGGGTAATCCAAGAGTCATCAGCTTCCAACATGCTATAAAAGGGATAGGATGTAAACTTGGTGATGCAGTGAATGAATGAATAAAAATATGTTATGGCATTTCTTTATGAGTGATTCACAAAATATGAGGGTGTGTGGGCTTCTCTAGGTGTGATGCCCAGACCTGTTGATGTGATTCCAATAGGCTTTTGTTATTTTCAAATCATTTCTCTACTATACATCTTGAACCGCAGTCCTGCGTATTTGAATTTTCAGCCAATAAACTCTTATTTATTTTAACTATTCGAGGCTGCTCTTGTCTTACATCACTTTCCTTCCAATTATGCCTTCTGGCCTTCTGGCCACTTGCCATATTGAGTGTCTTTCTGAGAGTCACCGGGCAGAGCCCTGCAATGTTTAAGCAAGTGAACCAGACGTCTGCAACTGAATCAAAAAGTGGGTAGATTCCTTGACATAGAGGTTCCAAAATATCAATCTACACTCCGATCCAAAAGAATCGCCCACCGTTGAGCCCTTTGTCTCGAACTTTCACTTTTTCAAGATCTGAAAACCCTTTTGCCACTTAAATCCCACCTCTGCTGGTAATACACTCTAGTGGTAGATTGATGATTTGGACCCAGAAGAGAGCCCCATTAAATATAGAGTTGTTGATATTAACATTCTGTTTCCATGGAATCAACACCAGGCACTGACTATCAAAATGGGCTTGAGTTCAAGATCTGTTCATGGCCAATTCGCTTTCCAGTTTGAACTGGAAAATATTCCATTGTATTTTCGCGACCTTAGGAGTTTTTGGGCAACCCCCCAGAGTTATACTTCTCGGCCCTTCCTGCATTCACTGATTTGTCTGTAAGAACCTTGCCCAAAAGGTTGTTTGACCACCATTTAACTCCTTCCTCTGTGTCCTCCTCAGTAATAACTATTTGGCTTTCTTCTTCCTCAGTGAGATAGAACTTTTATATTTGATGTATTAAAGATTCACTCATGGTATGACTAAGAAATAATTGTTTAATCCCATCGGAGGTTGGCACAGATAACAAGAACAATCACTCTTCTACAATCTCTGTTTGGGACGAGAGAACCTCCTGTAGGCTCTCACCCGTGCGGAAAATACATCGAAGTAACAAGTTGAAATTTTATGGTAATGCTAAACAACATTGATGAATGTGATGCAATATATCATTGAATGCATGGTTTACTTTGTCAAATTTAATTACCCTAGTGATGGTTTGTGTTTCATGGTGAGACTATATTTTGTTGTACATTATCGCTCACAGATGATGAATTTTGCAGGCTCAATCAACATCAGTGGCTGAAATATGGTTATGGCAAGTGGGTTCATGGAAGGCAGTTGGTCGCTTGCAATCTCACAGCTTAACGGTGACACAGATGGAATTCTCTCATGATGATAAATTTCTTTTGGCCGTCTCAAGAGATCGCCATTTTTCGGTTTTCTCAATCGAACAAACAGGTAAACTAGCTGTAATCTGCTTCAGTAATAATAGTGTAATCTTTGGTATGATCACTGTTCTCCTGAGCATTTTTATATTCTTGTAATTGCTTTTACTGATAAAAACAACTTTATAGTGAAGTACACAACTAAAGAGTTACATACCATGCACCATTTGGTTTGCCATGACGGAGATGATAATAAGAAACTGAATCTTTCACTTTCTTTTCACTTTTCCAAGAGTCTAAAAGGACAAAAGTAAAGAAAAAACTATATATATATATTTTTTATTCTTTAAAATGGATAGGAAATGGTGGAGAGACTACCACAGCTGCAACTCCCAGAACTTCCACAATGACCACTATCAATGATTCTTAAATTAAACCCCTAACCCACACTACCAACTACTCTTCTAATCCTTTACCTTTTTATTTTCCTGTCGTTCAGATTATTGGGAGTTAATTCAAGATTTGATATTATTTGATAGGATTTGATAGTATTTGATATTATTGTCATCATCTACATTCTACATTAGAGGCATAGGATCTGTGATATGACATACTATAGCAGAGGTAGGATATGTGATTTGATTACGTTTCCATTATGGATTGAGACATGTCTTTCGTCTGTTAAGTTCTCAATTCTTGTGAATGGCTCTCCCGCTTGTTTTTTTGGGTGTACTCGGGGTATAAGACAAGGAGATCCTTTGTCATCTTTCCTCTTTCTAATTGTTTTGGAGGGTTTAAGCAAACTTATGCGCAGGGCAGAGGATCTTGGTCTCATCAAGGGATTCAGGGTGGGAAGAGATATAGACCATCAGATGGAGATCTCTCATTTACTTTTTGCAGATGGCACCCTGGTTTTCTGTGATGCAGATGTGTGTCAACTTAGATATTTAAGATGCATCCTGGCTTGTTTTCAGGCGGTTTTCGGGCTAAAGGTAAATGTGGCTAAGAGTGTGCTTGTCCCGATTGGGAATGTTCAAGAGATTTCTTCTTTAGCTACAGTACTTGGGCGTAGGGTGAGTTCCTTTCCTATTCCTTATTTGGGTTTGTCCCTAGGGGTCTCTTCCAGGATTGTGGGGAGTTGGGATTATGTGATCGACACGTATGCAAAGAGATTGGCAGGATGGAAGAAGCAATACTTGTCTAAGGGGGGTAAAGTAACTCTTATTAAGAGCACTTTATCGAGCCTCCCCACATATTTTCTATCTATGTTCCAAATTCCATACTCCGTTGCTGATAAGATTGAAAAAATTCAAAGAGATTTCCTTTAGGGCAGAAGGGGAGAAGAGATCAAGTATCACCTTATCAGATTGGAGCAAGTTTGCAAGCCCATGAAGTTGGGTGGTTTTGGTATTAGACGATTGATTCCTTTTAATCAAGCTCTCCCGGGTAAATGGTTGTGGAGATTCGGGAAGGAAAGACATCGTCCTTGGTGAAGATTAGTCTCATGTCGGTATGGGGAGGACGTTGGCGGTTGGTCTACCCGTCCGGTTTCTCTTGTGGGAGGAGTTGGGGCGTGGAAATCCATTTGGAAGGGATGGGATGCCTTTTCCTCTCATATCAGATTCAAAGTTCGTGATGGTAGATGCGTTCGTTTTTGGGAAGATCTTTGGTGTGGTGATCAGTCATTATCTCGTACATTTCCCAGATTATACAGTATTGCAGTTGATTAACATACCTACGTAGCTAACTATTATTGGCTTGATAGTAGTGGGATTACGTGGGACGTGCATTTTCGGTGTTCTTTTCAGGATTGGGAGTTGGACGAGGTAAGTGTTTTTCTGGACCAATTGTATCGACAGGAGGGAATTGACAGGGGTTATGACAATTTGACATGGATTCCCTCTTCTCACGGTCGTTTTGAAGTAAGATCTTTGTTCTTATGTCTGTCTAATTTTGATAGCCTTGACTTCCCATGGAAGACCATTTGGCACTCTATGGCTCCAACTTGGGTGACATTCTTTGTATGGACCGCTGTTTGGGGTAAGATATTGACAATTGATAATTTGAGGAAGAGGGGAAATTGTTTTGTTAATTGGTGTTGCCTATGCAAGTAAGATGGGGAGTCAGTTGATCATCTCCTAATACATTGCCCCGTGGCGCATGACTATAGGAATCTTATTCTTGGGTTGCTTGGCATGTGTTGGGTAATGCCACGTTCTTCTAAGGAATTGATTCATGCTTGGAGAGGATGTCGTGTGAGTAGGGGTGTACGCGATTATTGGAGAACTGTCCCACATTGCGTTTGGTGGTGCATTTGGAAGGAGAGAAATAGTAGAATGTTCGAAGGGAAGGAGTCGTCTACGGCGATGCTGAAACTTTTTATTATTTGTTCTCTCTTTAGTTATGTGAAGAGGAGTTCTTGCTCCTCTTCTGATGATTTAATTAATTTTTTGGTTCTATGGGGCCTTAGCCCCCGGTTCCACTTATGTTTAAGGGACGCGTTCCCCTTTTGAATGCCTTTTTAATTCATTATTACTTATCAAAAAAAAAAAAAAAATTGTAATACTCACCATGTAATATATATAGGAGTATGACTAATGACATCAGTAGCTGATTACAGCCTTTCGCATTCAACTTGGTATCAGAGCCAGGTTCACAACCCACCTTACTACAGCTTCATCTCTGCTTCACCTTCTTTTGGTTCATCCTCTACTCTTTCTGTCTCTATTAAATTTCACTCATCAACAACTAGACTTCACCCAACCATATCAAACCCCTTCGGGGGTATTCCTTTTTCCCTCCATTGCTTCATGCGATAGAGGGCCTCTCTCTAAAGCAATAACTGGCTCGGTCGTTATGTGCTGTTGACGAATTGTCCGGCCTGTTTTCGTGTTGTGTTGCTTTCGCAAAGTTTAGTACATGCCGTTGATGAGTCGTCCGGCTTAATTTTACTCTTGCAGATAGAGTAGCTAAGGGCTTTTCTAGCCATTTAAATCTGCGAACAGAAGCTTGTGTGTGTGTGTTTTTTTTTTTTTTTTTTTTTTTTTTTTTTTTTTTTGTGTGCAGTCTGCAGATAGGACTGTTCCTTTAATTTGGTGGTAATCTGCCACCTGGTATGACATCTGTTGAGATTAAGGATAATATATCCTCTGGGCATAGTTTCCAAGCCCAAAGGTTCACTACAGCTTTATTAGATGGAAATTTTTTTCCGTCTTGGGCAACATCAGTTAGACTCTATTTAGGGTGTCGTGGTAAAACTGGATATTTATTGGGTACTGTTAAAAGGCCATCACCTACTGAACCCACATTTAATCAGTGGGACATTGATAATTGTACCATTCTTGGGTGGTTATTCAACTCTATAGAGCAGCATATTTATAATATGTTCATGTATCACGAAACTATACACACATTATGGACTGCCCTCACGAAGACTTATTCCCGTGCCCATAATGATACCCGGATCTATGTGTTGCACCGAGACATTGCACGGGCTACCCAGAAGGATCTCAATCTGTCAGTAGCAGATTATTTGCCTTCCTTCAGTCACGTTGGGAAGAGCTTGCTCATTATGAGTCCCTTGGTGATATCTCAGCAGAGGCTGCAAAGTTTATTATGGCCAGACATGAGCAACATCAGACTTATCAATTCCTTATGGAACTTCGTCCAGAGTTTGAGGCCCTTCACACTTAAATTTTGAACACTACACCACTACCCTCTCTTTTCGAGGCCTTCACTATTATTGATGGGGATGATCGTCGACGCCAAGTTACACCATCAATGGCTCATGTTGCACTTCCTATGTTTGACACTGATCAGATGGCATTAGCCGCTACTTCTTGACCGTCTGCCACTCGTAGCCGTGGTCATGGCAGTAGTAATCGTGGACGGGGGAGTTCCATCATCTGTACACATTGTGGGAAGACTGGTCATGCTAAGGACCGGTGCTTCCAACTCTACCCACACCTCGGATCTAGCAACACTACTGCTGCTATCGCTGAGTCTTCTAATGAGCCACATGCTCCTCCGCCTGGATGTATTGATATGCGTCAGTTGCATACACAAATTGGGTCTATTATCCGAGATCATCTATCACAGGCAGCTTTCACTTCAACAACATCTGCTGCAGCTCACTTAGGTACCATCCCTTCAGCTACATCTGCTGCAACTCACTCAGTTACCCTATCTGCATTCCATGCCTCTCAATCTACTATTGTTCCTCCAACTTGGGTCATTGATTCTAGTGCTTCCGATCACATGACTGGTGAGTCTCGGTATTTTTCAGAGTTGGAAGCATCCTCGGGGCAGGTATGCCTTGCTGATGGTTCTTTTACACCAATCATCAGTAAGGGTACTGTCCCTTTATCTCTTGATTTATCTTTACAGACATTTCCCTTAACTTATTATCTGTTAGCCGCTTAACTCGTTCCCTGGCCTGTTCAGTGACTTTTTTTCCAGATCACTGTGTTTTTCAGGACATAGTTACGAAGAGGATTTTTGGCAGGGGGTATGAAATGGATGGGTTGTACATCTTTGGGACGTCTCCAACACTTGCGCATGTTTCCGTATTACCGGACCATGAAAGTTATTCTTTTACAACCCAGACACTTGATTTATGGCATGCTCGTTTAGGACATGCTAATTTTCAGCATTTTTTATCTTTATTTCCTGCATTACAAATAGCTTGTAAAACCCATCAGTTTCGGTGTGTTGTGTGTGAGCTCTCTAAACACACACGCACCTCTTATATTTCACGAATGCATCGTAGTCTTTGTTTATTTGATCTTATTCATTTGGATGTCTGGGACCTTCTCCTGTTACTTCTTACTCTGGTCATAAATATTATGTGACTTTTATTGATGACTACTCTCGTTGTACTTGGGTTTATTTACTTAAATTACGCTCTGAGTTATCATCTACTTTTATTTCTTTCTTGCAAATGATTTAAACCCAATTTAATACTATAGTTAAAACCCTTCGGTCAGATAATGGAGGAGAATATATCTCTGATGGCTTTCGGTCTCACCTTAATGAACTGGGAATTCTTCATCAGTTGACTTGCCCTTATACACCGGAACAAAATGGGGTGGCAGAACGTAAAAACCGTCGTCTAATGAGTGTTGTCCGGTGCCTCTTATGTGGTATGCAGATTCCTCAGTCATATGGCAATTCTCACTGCAGTTTTTTTGATAAGCCGCACTCCTAGTCGTACTTTAGGGGGTAAGGTTCCATTGCATATTTTGCGACCAGACAGCACCATTTTCCTATCACTCCTTGTGTTTTCGGATGTACCTATTTTGTTCAGGACCGACGTCCTACGCGTACGAAGCTTGATGAAAAAGCTATTCATTGCATTTTTCTAGGTTATTCGACTATGTCGAAAAGGTATCGCTGCTATGACCCTAGCACTCGTCGAATTTTTCACTCTCTTGATGTCACTTTTTTCGAAGACGTTCCCTTTTTTGGCACATCCTTTTTGCAGGTTCCATCTTCTTCTACATCTTTGATCAATTCTCCAGTGTCTTCCTCACCTGGGGCTAGACCTGCACTAATTTTTAACTGTATCTCTGCCTATGGCTCATCCAGAAATTCGTGCATACACTCGTCGCCCACGGGACCCTCCTCCCACCTCCCTGCCGCCGTTCTCTTCTGGTACAGGTATTCCTAACCCTGCTCTTCCTTTTCTACTTCAGATCATGTTTCACCTAGTTCTGATTCTGATTTGCCTATTGCACTCGGAAAAGGTACACGGACATGTGTGCTAAACACCCTATTTCCCAGTTTGTTTCTTATAAGGGACTTTTGCATGCCTACGGGACCTACCTTGCTGCCACTTCTACTATTTTCATCCCTCGCACTGAATGTGAGGCTTTGCGAGACCCACATTGGAAAGCGGCTATGGTTACTGAGATGGATGCCTTGTAGAAAAATCATACTTGGGAGTTTGTTATTTTACCACCAGGAGAGCGAACTGTGGGCTGTAAATGGGTATTTACAGTCAAATATCAGACAGATGGTACTATTGATCGTTACAAAGCTAGGCTTGTCGCTAAGGGCTTTACACAGACTCCGGGAAAGGACTTCACTTCTACTTTTTCTCTAGTGGCCAAGCTAACTACTGTCCGCTTCTCATTTCCTTAGCGGCTTGCTACTCTTGGCCTCTTCGCCAATTAGATGTTAAGAACGCCTTTCTTCATGGGGATCTAACAGAAACAATTTATATGGATCCGCCTCCTGGTTTTCGACTTTAGTGGGAGTATTCTGGGAAGGTGTGTCACCTTTTAAAATCTCTATATAGCCTGAAGCAGTCTCCTCGAGCATGGTTTCACCAATTCAGCGATGTAGTTATTTCTATGGGGTTCAATCAGTGCCACTCATCTCGTGCTACTTTGATGTTGATTATGCTGGATCTTTGACTGACCGTCGCTCCACTTCAGGTTTTTGTACTTTTCACGGGGGTAATCTAATTTCTTTGAAAAGTAAGAAACAAAGTGTTGTGTCTCGTTCTTCTGCAGAGGCAGAATACGGTGCCATGGCTCAAGGCACTTGTGAGATCATTTGGCTTCGTTCTCTATTGACTGAGTTGGGATTTCCTACTACTTGTTCATCGACACTTTTCTGTGATAACCAATCTGCTATCATGCTCGCGTCTGACTCCGTTCTTCATGAGAGGACCAAGCATATTGAGGTTGATATTCATTTTATCAGAGAGAAAGTGTGCTGAGGAGTTATCTATACTTCCTTCGTTTCCTCTTCTAATCAGCTTGCCGACATGTTCACGAAGTCAGTGGGACTGTCTGCTCTCCGCCGTTAGTATTGGCAAGCTGGGCTTAGTTGATATCTTTGCTCTAGTTTTTGGGGGAGTATTGGGAGTTAATTCAGGATTTGATACTATGGTCATCGTCTACATCCTACATTAGAGGCTTAGGATATGTGATATGACATACTTTATTAGAGGTAGGATATGTGATTTGATTACGTTTCCATTTATGTAATACTCACCATGTAATATATATAGGAGTATGACTAATAACATCAGCAGCTGATTACAGCCTTTCACATTCAACTCAGATATTTAACATTTATTTTCCAATTTATTTTCCCACTTGCTCGGTAACCAGATGGAGCAATGGAAAATTCTGTTGTGGAAAGGAGAATATGGTTGAAATAAATTATGTTCACACACACTGTCGATCAACCCACAATGACTTGTGCTGCATATTACACATCTGGTGTACTTGACTACATAAACCGCTTTCCAACCCCCTCCCTTCATCCCGACTTACAGAAAAGGAATGCATTTGAGCAAATTTTATAACTTATGTACAACTCTTTTGATATGGTTTTGTATAATACAGGTATTGACGGAGTTTGTTACCAGCTTGTAACAAGGCAGGAGGCACACAAAAGAATAATATGGTCCTGTTCATGGAACCCATTTGGGCATGAATTCGCCACAGGTTCCAGGGACAAAACTGTAAAGATCTGGGCCATAGAGAAGGGATCTTCAGTTAAGCAGCTCATGATTCTTCCACAGTTTAGCAGTAGTGTCATGGCGCTATCTTGGACCGGTATTGATCTTCAAAGGAATGATGGGCTTCTCGCTGTTGGAATGGAAAATGGACTCATTGAATTGTGGAATGTTTCTGTCAGAAGAAATGAAGATGGTAGCATAGCAGTGCCAGGAGCAACTGCTGCCCTTTCTTTGCGGTTGGATCCATTGACATGCCATGTTTCGGCTGTGAACCGTTTGGCATGGAGAAATTCCGAGAAAAAACAGGATTCCAGGAGCATGCAACTTGCTTCGTGTGGAGCTGATCATTGTGTAAGAGTGTTTGAGGTAAATTTTGCTTAAACTATGACCAGATAATTTTGTATATTCGACCGAGTTAATTTAGTGAGAAATTTCATTTTCACACAGACTAATTTTTTTCCTCTTATTTATTTATTTATTTTATTTTCGTTTCCTTTATTTGTTTTTGGGGACTGTCAGTTGACAAAAATCACTTTATACATACAATGGTGATGGCCGCCTTTATCATAAGATAATTGGCTCTTATAAAGATGAAGCGTATTGTATAATTCATTTAGATACTAAGATGTTCAATTGAATTTCAAGTTGTGTAATGAAGAAATCAGATATTGCATCATTGAAAATTTTAAATTAGTAGATGTGTTGTATTTTAATATGCTCAATAATATGAATGTTTGCTTAGAAAATAAATGAATTACCTTTTTTATTTACACACATATTAGTAATAAATAAGGTGCAAAGTTGAAACAAGAAACTGCTGTCTAAATATTGAAGAAACTGCTATCTCCATGCTGGCTTGCTTCTCTCTCTCTCTCTCTCTCTCCCCGAAGTGAAGCGTGTTGTGTAATCATTATAATTTTATTCTATTTTTTCTTTGATATATTCTCCTATTTTTCTATTTTTAGGCCCGTACATTTTTATCTATTAATATATTTGCTTAACTTTCTAGAAAAAAAATGGAAAAAAAGAAAAAAAAGAAAAGAAAAGAAAAATAGGGAGTTGAAAACTAGTCCTTCGGAGGGTTGGGTCTTCATTCTCAATGCAAGCTATCTATTTTACTAGTTTTTGCAATAAGAACACTTGCTTATCATCTTTTCTTCACGGTTCCACCTCTATGTATGTCGTGTTTTGTTTTTTTTTCAAACAGTGAAAAGAAAGATTAAGGGGTGAAAGGGTATTTTTGTCTAATTAGTATTTTAAATAATGGAAGACTTGGAGAGTACGATTAGGTCATTGTCATGTAAAAGACGATTTTTTTTTTTTCTCTAAAAATAAGTATCCATTACAATTGGTTCATTTGCCTACTTGGGCAGATAATTGATACCTTTTTGTATGTTAGTTACTCCTTATCTTTTTGCTGCCATTAAAAAGACTCAGTTGCAATGTAGTGAATAGATGTTTTTTTTCCCCCTCTTAGTTTCAACTAATATTATTATATATGGTTAATTTGGTGTTTCCACCCCCAAGAAAAGAAATAACATTTTTTTTTTTTTTTGTGATTAAGTAAAAAGAAGGAACATTTTTAAGCTGGGTTGTGTGGCTGTAAATTTTAACAAAGGCAAATTTATTTATTTATTTATTTTTTATTTTTTTATTTTTTCTGGCAATACCAACAAGCCCGACGGCACTTACAACACAACAATACATCAACTCACTGCAACACATCAAATCTACACAAAAGCAGGAAAAAAACAAACAACCCCTAGAGACACCACCTGAAACCACACCAAAAAACCAGGCTAAGCCTTGGCAAACGACAAAACATCAACTGGTTTCAGAGAATCTAGGTGGATTCGCCCCCACAAGCAACGCAAGTTGTGTATCAAAGGATTGAGACGGAGAGGAATCTGACTGACAAGATTCACCATTTTGAGCCGCAGATTGATCACAGGAAGCTGAGATGGGACTAACCACAGTCCCATGAGGCCCATGATCCTGAAATGAAATTTAGGGTAGTAGAATTCTATGAAATTTAAGATGAGAGGGAATAAATAAGAATGTACGGGTAGAGAGAGAGAGAGAGAAATGGTGACGTTTACATGTAGGGAAACTACACAAAATTTAACTTAGGGTTAAACATGTCAAATTGCAATCCGGTGGAATCTTTTAATTTGTTGATTAGGACATAAATTTTCACTGTTCTTTTTTAGAAACAGCTAGGCTGCCCATTGTAGTCGTGTTTAATGACCCAATTGTCCTCACTTATTTTACTAATTTTTAAGTTTTTAACCCACATATTATCTCTCTTTCGAGAGAATATTGGGTACCCCAAGGGTACCTCGTCAGCTTGTCCACCTGGTACCCCAATCCAATAAAAACATTACAACTGGCTACCTTTCCACCTCAGCTTCTTACTCAACATGCCATTAACGGAGACGGCGTCAACTTTGTTAAAAAAAAAAATTAGCGTTGACCGGATTGAGGAATCATCTTCACCATCGCCAGCCCCACCAACCAGCAGCCATCGCCGAGCACAAAGCTCGTTCTCGGGTAGCCCAGAAATGTCCCTTATGATCTCGCCGAGTTGGCTCACCAACGAGTCTGAGCTAAAGACCCACAAGAATTAAAGATTTTGGAGCGATTGAGAGAGACCCAGATGAGAGAATTGCTTGAATCTGTAACGCGGAGTTACGAGACATACGCCATAGTTTTGAAGGTCAGAGCGCCGCCGGCGCCAGAGAAGATGGCGCGTCGAGCACCGGTCGATTTGGTGATAGTATTAGATGTGAGCGAAGCGTGACGGTAGAGAAATTGCAGATGATGAAACACGCGATGCGATTGATCATGTTGTCTCTTTCATCCGCCGATCGTCTCTCCATTGTGGCTTTCTCGGCGAACTCCAAGAGGTTGTTGCCACTGAAAAGAATGACGGTGAACGGCCTGTCATCGGCGCGTCGAATCGCCGATGCACTTGTGGCAGGCCAAGGCTCGAGTTTCACCGACACGCTGAAAAAAGCAGCGAAGGTGTTAGAAGACGTTCACGACGGGCCAGTCTCTGCCGGTAAATCGGCGATGGAAAGGCGTCAATCCTCCGTCGTCTGTTCCACGCACTACTCACACCTCAAGATCCCTGTACACGCCTTTGGATTCAGCCAAGGTGGCGTGTACGGCGACGCCTTCGCCAAATTATGGTCGGTTTACTGAGCGTCGTGGTGCAGGATTTCCGTTTGCAGCTCGGTTTCGCCTCCGCTCTGGCGAAGATCGCAGCGGTTATTCACACACCGGTCGGCCCCGCGCTCTCGGATCCGGTTGGATCCGGCTCGGTGAGTTATATGCCGAAGAAGATGGGTTTCATAATTTTTTTTTTTTTTAACGAAGTTAACAACGTTCCGTTAGTGGCATGTTGAGTATGAAGCTGATGTGGAAAGTTAGCCAATTGTCATGTTTTTATTGGATTGGGATACCAGGTGGAACAGGCTGACGGGGTACCCTTGGGGTACCCAATATTCTCTCCTCTCTTTCACTCCTGTCCACCAACACAACTGATCTGGACAAGGGACAAACTCTCTCTCCATCTCCAAAACACCTACCCACATTTTATCTTTCTTCTTCTTCACTTCTCTCCACCAACACACCGGATCTGGACAAGCTCTCAATCGAAGCTAACACTCGGGCGGAGGGAGGAGGGGGTGGGAGCTCAAAAATTTTGAATTTTTTTTATTAGTATAGGGAAAAAATAAAAAAAATAGTATAGGGAAAAAATAAAAAATTTCCCCCCCACCCCCCAAAATTTTTTTTTCTCTAATGGGCTTTTAACAAATTTAGGCCAAGATTGTGTGTTAATATACTCAAGTTTTGTATAACTGTTGTATTTGCTGATTGTCCAGGAGTCTGATAATGATAGACTAGTTGTTTCAAACTGATGATTAAATAAGAATTTTAACTTTACTTTTCATAATAAACAGAACGGATGTGAATACGTAAGTTCCCTCCCTTTCTCCTTTTATCTTCTATTTTGCTTTTTAGTTTTGTAAATTATAATGTTATGTGTTGTTTTTTGTCCATCTTTACTTAAACACTAAGTGCATACACTAAGTGCTCAGTGCAGTAAACGTTCTACGTTTCTTAAGTCGAAGTTTTACATTATGCAGTCAACTTTGTACCTTAGTGTAGTGAATGTTTTACATTCTACAATTTTGAAAACCAATTAAAAAAATCATTATAATAATGAGATTCAAAAAAAATTTCATGATTTTTTTGAAAGTTCTTGTGCTAAAAGTCCAAAGAAATCACTAAAGTAAGAAAAAAAATTAACAAATCATTTTAACGATAATATATATTTGAAATTTTTACATTTCTTAAGTGAAAGTTTTACATCTCAATCAACGTTTTAAATTAGTGCAGTAAATGTTTTACATTCTATGATGGCGCTATTGTTTTTACATATAGAGATGATTAGATAGATCTTGAGCAAAGTTTGGTGTTTTGTGATTCCATGGGAAGGTTTTTCCACTGACTACCGTCCCTTCTTAGGGGATTAAGGTAGCCTTGGCTAGATTAATTATGTAATTTTTGTAGTTTAATTTGGGGAAATAATATTGTATGTAATGGATTTCATGAATAAGATGAGGATTTATGTGCAATTTGTGTATTACATTAAATTGGTGTATGATCCAGGCAGAATTCATATATATAAGTATATCTACTATGTAATCCTTGTCTTAGAACCATATTTTTATACTTGTACTCTTGATAACTTTATGGTGACAATGAAGATTGATTTCATGAAATGGGATTATGGCATGTTATGTATGACTTTAGATAAATTATGCAAAGGGAAGATGGACCATGTTACACCCTTAGATTAATGTAGTTAGGTAGATGGTCCATGCCAACTAAAGATAGTTTATGCTAGATAATTACTTTCATGTGCTAAAACTTACAAATTCAAGACCTTGATAGGTCATGCCTAGGGAAGATGGCTCATACCACACCCTAGTTTAGGTGGATGAGCCATGCCAACCGTAGATGGGTTATGCTTAGTCTTGAGTTACATGAATTTATGAAAAATTGTTGTAGTTGTTAATGCTTCTACACTTTATCATTACATGTAGTTGTTTTCCCCAAGTTAATTACATTATAGCATGATTATGAGGTCTCGGTGAACTCAATTCCCTAGCTTCTTTTCATTGTTATTTCAATCTTTGAATTCGAATTAATTTTATTTAAATTTTATGCTAAGTGACAAACAAATAAACAACTCTTCAAATCATCTTGTGACATTAACAAGCTTGAAATTAACCTTTGAAATCTTATTTCCATAAGCTTCGCAATCTTCGTGGATTGATACCCCTACTTAGCCACATTCTACTTGAATTTGTGCTAGTCGGTGGTTTTATAATTAACGCACCGCTTGGACTCGCATCAATGTACACCTGCCAATTTTCATGTGATGAACCTCAATAAACACAGCAAATGAGTCTGAGCAGGCATATATACTGTAATGTACTATCTCAGACCCTTGTATAAAATGTGTCACATAAGAGTAAATGACAACACTGCCTCTATACTATATTATAAGCTACAATGCAGCTTGTATAAGCCCTTGAAGCCTCTGATACACAACTTTTTGACATTAAAAATGCAAATATAGCTTAGGGAACATTAGGACCAACAATCTCCCCCTTTTACCT